TTCCTGGAAGGAGACTAAAAACTCAAGACTTGAGACGTGAAAAGCAGAGAGAGACATCAAAATCAGCTGACGAATTCCAGTTTTTCCAGGCTTCATTCTTTTATGCATTACTCTTCATTTTTTTTCATTTTCCATTTGAGGTATGAGATTGTTTATAAGAACATGTTCAGCAACACCCCACTGCTGCAGAAGCACAGGTATGCGCTTAACATGGCGAGCATTTCAATGAATGATGTCAGGGCTGAGGTGGCAGCTCCCTTTCCACTTACCTGGAACATCACATTTTTCCTTTGTCCTCCCCATTCCTCACATCATCATTTGCCCTCCATATAGTACCTTCATCAATCAAACAGTTGGACTCAATGATCATATGTGTAAGTTCCTTCTAGCTGAAATTATTCTCATCTGCACCAACATCCTTTGATCTACCTGAGATAAAGCCTGCTAGACAGGGCCAAGGAAATGGGTCACCACAGCCAGTCATATCTTCTGCCCTGTGTCTGGCTGAACCAGACCAGCAACCACCAAGCTGGCATCAACTCTACAGAGGGAAAGAAGAGATGATGGAAGGTGACTTTAGGGTGCCTTTATCAGCTGTCCCGTCACAAGAGGCTCCCATCACCAGCCCCACATGGTAAAGGCACAGCATAGCACAATCACCTACACCTGCAGATGAAGCTTCAGTTTACCAGTGCTCACTTTACTATCACTCTGCATGTCACCATCTCCTCCGTGTCATCAATCCTTTCCCTGAAAAGCTCCTTCATGGTCAGGACCTCTCTGCAGACCAGGTAGCCACAGACCAGGAGACTAGGATATGTGAATGCCAGGAATCAACAGGTTCAAGCATGCTTACCAGCATCCTGCCTCGTGCCCACACTCTTGAACAGCAGCAGGACTGGTGACACCTCTCTGCCAGCCAGTACCTGTGCTAACTTCCCCATCTATCTGCCCTACACTATTTCTAATGGGAAAAACTCCTGCAGGGAATGTTTCTCTAATGCTGAAAGCTGGCTGAGCAATACAAATATTTATATATATTCCCTCACAAGTCTCACCAACTCTATAAATTTTTTTCAGCTGTTCCCAGTATTTTCCTTTTGTCATGGAGGACAACAGACATTTTATGCCTCTCTTCCTTTTTTTCTTTTTCCCCACAGGAAAATAAAAGTTGAAATACACAACTGAAGAAAATATACAGTCAATTGTCTTTAATTTTGACAAAAAATAAGACATACACTAGCCATGCAGTGTAGCAGGACCATGTTTAGCAGTAAGCAGGAACAATAACAGGATTTACATAGAAAGAGGCTGGCGGAGGAAATCGAAAATGCCAAAAATGCAACAGAACACAGAACAGTGTTCCTGAAAGGCAAACTATGAAGCAGCAAGGTTGGATGCTTCAGGTCATTCTGTAAAACATACTCCTAGAAAATAATGACCACTCATTTATGAAATAAAATGAAAATTGTTCATAAAAAAAGGATCAAACAAGTATAGACATTGTTCCCTTCCCTATGAGCCACAATTAATTTTCACAATTCAGAGTGTAATTTTATTGCTTCCACTAAGCCCGAAACCTAAATGAGCACACTTCCTCAAAAAAAGTAAATAGTGACAAAGCTGGCAGCACGCTTGTGCTTAACTACCACCACAGTTAGGTCACCCAGACAACTGAACCTGGCCTCACAGCAGTGCCCTTAAAGCAAATCGAGAACCTCAGCCGCTGCAGGTTCTGTGCCCCTGCACACCCACACCCCCCAAAAATAGTCAGGGGATAAAAGCCTGAGTGTACCAAGGACATAACATTTGCAGAGAAGATGCTGTGCCCATGCCTGATGGATTGTAGGGGCTGCCAGTTCAGAAAAATGGCCCTCATCTGACCCTGCTGTGGGAGGCAAAGAGATACTCTCCAAAGTTCACTCTGAAGCATTTTTTCTCATCTCGATGGAACACTCCATCTTATTCTTTTTTCTTTCATAAATATTAAAAAAATTGGAAGATTCTCAATTTTTGACCTGCAACATGTTATTTGACTTAACTCTGACCATCTTCATAAATGGAGTAATCCAACCTTCTGAAAGAAAATAGCCTTTACGAAGGTGCCAATAGCAAATAAGTAGCTTCTCCCTCCCTCTCCTCCCTTCTCCCTCTCCCCTTTCCTCAAACCCACCAAGGAGTGCCCAAGCACACACCGCAATCAGTTCCTCAGTTTCTCTGGCAGCACGCTGTCTGTGGGCAGGTGTAGGACTGTCAGATCCACTTCCACGAGCAGGTAGCTCCTGACACCACTGTCAAACAGGCACTTGTGACGAGCCAGAATGAACAGGAAGTTCATGCTCTCGTTTCCTTTGTCAAACTTTAAATAATGTGGATAACAAGTCTTGACCTGTGCAATGGCACTGAATTCCTGAATTATTTGCGATGCCCTCCAGACAATTCAGTCTCTTTGTACCTGGTCCTTCTTATGCCTTATAAAGGGAACACAATCACTTTTTCCAGATACCAAAACTCTTATGAATAAATTATTCTTCTATCTTTCCATACATCTCTAAATCCTCATAAAAATGAAAGAGGTCCAAAAACACCAGATGGTACAACAATTTCCTCAGTGCGTCATTCAGAAGTAATTTTTTGTAATATAAATAGCCCAGTATCTTTGAAAACTGAAAGAATCAACAGCAATTCAGTCTCATGGGCACAAGATCTGAGCCAGTGATGGGCTGTACCACCCAAAATCTATTAGAATATCGATTCTGAAAGGAATATCCAGACATCATCAGGTGCCAAGACACTATGGAACGCTCAGGGCAAGGAGTTGTAGGGGCACCTGCTACTCTTCAGCATTCACAGGGCTTGCTCAGCCACATGCAACCCATGGCTTTGGGACAAAAACACTGGGACAGGGACAGTGAGGATGTGCAATGTGAATCAGTGCTTCTAAGGCTCAGGTTAAAGAGAATTTGGCTATGAGACAAAGGAAAAGTATGCTTTCAGAAAATAAAGGATTCAGGAGATGACAAAAGCTTACACAGACCAAAAAAAGATGAACTCAATGACCAAACAGAGAAAATACTAATTATTTGTAAAGATCTATGCAGAGATTTTTGAAGTAAAATGCTGAATAATCAATTACTGTAGGTGAGATGCCCTCCTACCAAGCTGTCCGTGTGCACACTGAGGCAGCATCTTGTTCTATCTCTGTGCAGGGCCATAATCAGATATTTGTGCTACCCAGGCCACTCTTTCAAGAAATACATTTTAAGAACCCTTCAGAAACATGGCCCAAAAGGCCAAGAGTTAAGACTTATTTTCCCTGGGTCTGGAAGACTCTCCACCAGCTACCAGCATTACCACAGACACAGCAAACTCATCCCAAAGGCCAGGATCCTTTTTGTCCTGGTTCAGCCTCAGTCTTCTCTGTTGTACCAACATAATCCTACCACCGTACATTTACTGTGCTGCACAAATCCTGACCAAAGATCCCTGCTTCATTTATCAGCAATGGGTAAGGTATGAATGTCAACGTGACCCCTCAGTTAAACACACACTCCTCCAAGAGAGGCTGGAATGACCACTGAGTCAGCATGCTTTTAAAAAACTAGCATAACCAAATGCTCAAAAATCATGCATCTGTGTATCAGTTGCCCTAGCAGAGCCTAGTACTGCCTAGTACTGGCTGCACACCAGACCTACAATACCTCCCACAGAAACTTCTCAGGTAAGCAGCTGGCTTTGCCTGAACATCTCTGATTAGCTGTGGTATCCTGATGATACTTCTTGGCCAGACTACAGCTCATTTTGACAAAAAGCTTAGCAAAGTATGTGAAAAACTATATCTGATTTCTTCAGGCTTTCAATCAAGGTCTTCATTGCTCCAATAGTCACTCCAGCCATTGAGCAATATGAACAAATATTTACTACACACCAAAATGAAACAAGTGAAGTCAATGTCTAGCCCATACTTGAGTGAGGCACTGTATTTGTTTTTATATCTCTTGAAAGAACTGTTTACAGCAGACAGACAAAACCCACTCTTCTCCTGAGGAAGATAGCAGCAGATTTCAAGCTACCTGTCATTAAGAATTAGGAAGATTTAAGACAGGAAAAAATACCTCACCGAAAGAAATGGGCTAAGCATTGTGTTTTTTAGTTCCCAAAAGCTTGCATCAATCTCTCTTTTGGTTTGGCTCATATGGAAACTGCCTGTCCTCCAACTTCCAGCAGTTAAAAGTACTTAAAGGAAAACAGCCAAAAGTACCAAATTTTCAATGAAAAACATGTGTAGCCATCAAGTTTAACACTGTTTCCAACCCCAGCTATAAATCAGCTCAGTCTGCAAAAAAAATTATACTCTTCAGCAAAATCTAACTGCAGCCTTAAGTCTGCAACGAAACATAAAACTGGGCAAATTTCACCTGATTTTGTTACAGTACCCTAACGTAAGGTTTTGTTTATATTTTCCTTCCATTTCCTATTAAAAAAAAAAAAAGCCACAAAATTTGTTAAATGATACTCTGCCTCAAAATGATCAAAGTTGCAAAATAAAGAGTAGAAGCTGACAGAACTGTGATAAACAGTACCTTTGCTTTACATATCCAAAGACCTATAGCAACACATAATTCTGTTTTTGGGATGTATACTTTGTCTCCTTTTTGTTTACACAATTAAAACATATCATTTGATAAGAATATTACTGCAATTCTTGTTCATGTTTTTAAAACTGACAGCATTTAAATCTTGTAAAGGTGATGTCTATTCATAAAAAGAATTTCTTCTTTTGACAGTAAGTCAAGGTACAAAAATCTTCTAAAGAAACTGAGTTACAATATCCAGTTACAATATCTTTTCAAATTTCTGGGCACAAACCAAATCTCTGACTACTGCTCTCATACTTAATATTTTATCATCAGAACCACAAAATAAACCAGAAGGTCTGGGAACCTCTGCAGCAAGCCATCACTAGAAGCCTTCCAACTCTATAATAAATAAAATATTACCTCCTTCATAGCAGCTTCCGAGGATGCTCCACGTTGATGGCAATTCTTCGTGAGCAATGGCCATCGTCAAATCAGTATCCAGGGACTGCAGATCTTTTACTGTTAGCCCAAATTTATCCAGTAGCATCTTGTGACTTGTGGCACTGACATATTCTGTGTGACTGACCAGAAAACGAGACAACTTGCAAGACAAGTTCTCCCTGTAAGTGACAGGACAGCTGCCGAGGGCCACAGGTGAGGATCCCCTTGCATACATTAACACAGAGACAGAAACTGCTTCCTGGCATCCATGGCCTGAAATCGCAACATAAAGTAATCATTAAAACTGTTACTGTTTAGGAAATACATTAATTTTTCCTCCTTTTCAGTTCTCTATGATGGAGGATCAACAACAATTTCATTCTTCCCTTCATCTACTTGTTTTAGGGCATCCACCAAACATTTTTTTGTGATCAGCTTGGATCTGAACAGCCAGATTCCCTGATTTTACTGACAGTTCATTGCAAAGACAGTTTTTCTAGGTGGAGGTTCTTCATCACAGCAGAATATGAGTTGATGTGACCAGAGGGAAATGCCACAAACAAAAACAGGAAAATTTCTGGTTAAGAATTATGAAAAACAAGATATCAATAAAATATATCACTTGTAGCCCGCAACACAAACGCTAAGGAATTATCTATTTATGAATACCCATTTTGTACTCACCCAGCATTTCCATGTGGGCCAAAATCTAGGTGCTTTTAACAAATGCATGGTTTGTACCGTAAACAGGCTTGATTAAATGCTGTATCAACTGTCTAACTTACAACCAGGATCCTCAAAGCCCAAGGGAGTCTCCCATTCAAAAATCTTACGTACCACACACGTCTTTCCTCCTTCTCTGCCATCTCATCAGGAACAGATATCACATATCTACAAGCAGTGCACACTGTACACACAGCTCCCATTGGAGAGCTAACCATGAGGTACTATGTGTGTAAACCTAGACATCACAAAACAGGCCCTCAGAACTCAAAGTACTTAGGCAATCCATTAGCTGCAGAAGCCAACACATGCTTACCACATCTGCAACTGTTTCTGAAGTGCCGTGCGTTCTCTTATGTTTAATTTGGCCGGTATAAAACACCAACTACACTAAGGATATACTTTAACCTCCTCATTTTCATCTGCTGATGGCTTCTGTTGAGAGCAGGCAGCAGATTAAGCACTGTCTGTTGCCTCCTGTTTTTATTTCTACCTGAGAAGTAATTATGCAGCAGTGCCATTTCAGGACTTTCAAAAAAATGGCTTTGCTACCCTGTGAGCACCTAGCACTGCATTTTCCATCAGATAACATTTACTATTTACCAGCTCAAGCAGCCACCACCTATCTGTGGCAACGTTTCCTTTTTGTATTAGTTACTAACCAGTATGCCAGTTACTTTCACAGTCTGAATCTTCCTTAGAAAACAAGGACAAACAACAAGCAGAACCTACTATGTAAGTACACCACATTTATAGCCACCTTCTCCCACAGACAGGATACAAAGCAAGTAGTAAAGACAATAGCCGGGGTTTAAACCACACCAGCAAGGGGGACAATGCCAAGGCAGACCTGGCTGTGAGGGAACCCACATCACCCTCTCACAGCAAGGCACCCCTGGGTAATTCTCCCCATGGCTCCACATAGGTTCGAGAACACTGGGCAGCTGCCAGGTGAGCCCTGCAAGCCAGGCTGACTGCTGCCACAGTCAGACTGCTGCCAGAATAAAGTGCAGACTTCTGCAGTGATGGCAAATGGCAAGAGGCAAACCATAAGCTGGATTTGTTGGATAGAATTAAGTAAATCAGGCTAAAAATTATGCCATGCCTGAAAACGTACTTTCATGTACACCCAACCGTCTTTGCTCCCTTCTTTGCCTGACACTGTGTCAGTGCAGACAACTATGAATGGCATCACCACCTATGGCCAGTCAAACACAGCCTGCATCCAGCGGGCCATCACTCAATTCCTACACTCTCTATAAAGCCACACAACACAGTTACTCAAAAAATCCAGTTGTACCCAGCTTTAGAAGGGGGCTGGGGTGTTGCTAAGACATGAAACACAAATAGCACTCACCTGGAACAAGGGACTGAAGAGCATTGTCACCAATACGCTCAGCAAACATTATGTGCCTCTTCATGGATCCATCATAAACAAAGTAAAACTCAGCATCTTCCGGGAGGTAAATGCCTTTGTCAAATTTTGCACTTATAGTCACCTGCCCCTGAAAAATGAATAAGCTTTCATAAACATCCAGGAACTTTCCCACCTCCAACAAATTCATGAACATGTTCTTCTCTCGCAATCTTATCACAACCTTTTCAGCAGTACTACACAGAACCTCCAGTTTTTTACTTCCACTTTGAAAGCAGCACTGTTTTTATGCCTGTACAAGCAAAGGTGATGTAAAAATTTGCCTTTAAACAATCTTTCACCTAATTCCTTTCATCTTGATCTATGCAAATATATGTGAATCTTAATTAAAAATACCTGAGATCAAGCAAGTCAATGAATCTGAGTATTTTACTATTTACAAAAGCACTCGTGTTAAAAAAAAGAATTAAAATCAGGAGTGCTTTAAATACTTTAGACTTCAATTACAAAACAATAGTACTGATGTAATTCTACCAATGGTAGTTCCCAGATATCTGCCCAAGTGTGTTTTTCGATATTTTGTTTTCTTTATAGTAAATAGAGCAACCAGCCAAGAAAAACCTGCCATACAATGGCTTCAAAAAAGAACAAAAAAAAGCAGGAAAAGGATCTGAGAAGCACCAAACAATAAGAGGTGTCTGACATGTCTACAGGAGGAAATTCAGATGAAGCCGTATTTCCTCAAGGCAGAGGACCGCTTGCTCCAACACTGCTCCTCACCACCACGATTGCTCTGTAACTGTCTGAACCGGAGTTTTTTGGAAAACGTAATGCAGAAGAATATTTCACCCTTTTATTCTCCCAAATGATGCTTATGCCACCCCTACACTATGCAGTTACCACAGAATGAGCTCTATCGCCTGCAAAGAGCAGCATGCCAGAAGCCAGCATCAAAGCACTCTGTGGCACCATAGAAATTTCCGCGGCTGAAAGGAACAGTTACAGCCAACTGCTCTGACAGGCACGAGGCTCCTTCCCATGTTCATCATACAACAAATGAGTCTCTTTGTTCAAACATGCTGAATAACTTCTCATGGCTTTGGAAGAAGCACTCAGCTGTTTCATCATCCCCATAGCCACCAGCATCCTGCAGTAGTGCACAGTATTTCCCATGGTCTGCATGCTCACCTCTCCACAGGGAGACCATGGTGTCCCCTGAAACACCTCATCTTCGACCACATTTCCTAAGGATTCTGCATTGTCACTCCAAACAACACCAATCCTGATTTTTCTTTTTTTTCCTTTCCATTACAAATGAGTGTACGGGGCTGAAGTGGCAGAAATGACTTTCAGTCACACAAAATCTTCCTTAAATAAGACTGTTCTTGCAAGGTTAGATGCGTACCATTTTCAGAGCTGAATGTTGAGAGCAAACATGCCTGTCATCTCAGAATCTGACATGTATCTCTTTTCAGCCTGAACTGCTACTATAACTGGCCAAGCATTTTCTCCTAACTGTTTTTGGTTTTTAAGCTGTTATACTTAGAATTGCTTCTCTTACTTCTACTAATATTTGTAATTTACCATCCTTTTTAAAAATCATTATCATCTTTTTATGTTAGTTGCAATCAGCCTTTTTTATCAGTTGAATAATACCATGGATGGATACAATAGGAATACAGAAACAGAGTAAATCCCAAACATAGCTCGGATTGGGCTGCACCAAGGATTACTCCAGTATGAGCTCTGTTGTGAGCAGCCTGGTGCACAGGAGCACACTGCTTTCTTCCACATGGAACATCACTTACAGACCACATCTGTACCACTTGCACAACTACAAAGCCAGCCAGTCAGCTGTCACACAACAAATGCAAGAAACAAGGGAAATATTCTGTGGCAGCATTTCTAATTTTATGAGTCTATTCTTTAAATTTAAAAAAAAAAAAATCAAGCTCAAATTGTAGCTGTTGTTTTACACTGATCCTTGAAATAAAAATGTCAGTTTAGACTCAATGAAGAGAGAGGAATGCTTAAGAAACACTAATCCCTTTGCTTACTGTTTACAGTTTCACTACTCCTTATCTTATGAAGTGTGGAGTTAAAAAATATAGGGAATAAGGCAGAAAGCTCATGAGGATACAAAAACGTTTTTTTCGTAATCCATACCTTACAACTCTCCAGAATAAGAAGTTACTAATAATTAAAGGAAAGATTTTAGGGAAAAAAGGCAAAAATGAATTTTCCAAATGAAATGGAAAAAGCCATGTGATTCAAAAACAGGATTAAACCATCTACTACCAGACAGATCTCAAAGACAAAATTAAGTTACTTTCATAGTGAAATACTAGGCTGCATAATTCTTGATGCTGGATCACTTATTTTGCAAAATACAAGTTCCTGTCATCTTCAACAGCACTTCCAATTTGCCATCACACCCATCCTATTTTTAGACATCCTCATATCAAAATGGTTAATTTCAGAGCCTTTGTTTTTCCTGCCCCCTTTAAACATTCCTGTTTCACTTTCCTGTTTAGGCCACTGTGTTTTTTTCTCTAGTTTCAAAATCTCTCTTTTATTCTCACCTTGGTACGTTTACATCTCCCCTTCTTACCCTCTCGTAGCCTCCCACTGCTGTGCAAAGCACTCATCCCTCCATGCTCTGTCCCATGTCAGCCCTCTTCATCCTCCCCTCTGAACTTCAGCCTTCAAAAGGAAGCTAATGTCACATTTAAACCTTAATACTAAAGCACCTCTTCCTTTACTTCAGTCTTCCTTTAATTTAGAATTATATCTACTTAATGGTGGGTTTGAGTATAAAGCGTTAGTTCGGTTAATGGCATGAGTTGACCTATGGACTGCAGTGGAAATGGAACCCATAGAATTGAAGGCAACAAGAAGAACTTCGTACTACGTTTGATCAACTCCTTTCCTATCTTTAAAAACTCTACTAAATATTTTACTGCAATTATTTTACTGTTAATATAATGATTCCAGATGTTGTATGTATAGCAGACAGTCTATATCCTTGCATATTCACACACAATAAAGAAAGGACTGCAATGCACCTAGACAGTAATACATGTGCTTGACAGAGAGGACTACAGCCACAGTACATATGCAGTGCTGGTACAATTGTGTCTATTTCACAGATTGTTATCACTTTCTGAATCCACATTCCTCCAGATTTTCCTGCCAGACGTTCAGTAGTGATAACACATGATAACAAGGGTATCACCAAACGTTAATAACACTGAATTTTGAAAACATTTTTATGGCTGCTATAAGAGATGTATCACTTCTTTACCAAGCCAGCCAATAAACAAATAAGAAATGAATTAAACAATCCTTGCTCATGCCTGGTTTGTCAACACAATGCTGGGGCAGATTCTCCCCATAACAAATTTTCAGGGACACGAATAATTGGGTGTTTTTTTGCCTTTTTGTTTGTTTGTTTGTTTGATTGTTTTCTTTTGTTTTAGTATATGTTAAGGCATTGTCTAATAACAAGTAAATCCTCTTGGTCTGGCTACAGAGGAGGGCCACTAAGATGATAAGAGGGCTGGAGCACCTCTCCTATGAAGAAAGGTTGAAGGAACTGTGCTTGTTTAGCTTGGAGAAGAGAAGGCTCCAGGGCCTTCCAGTACTTGAGGGGAGCGTATAAAGAGGAGGGGAATGGCTGATGATGAGGGTCGCAGTGCTAGGACAAGGGGGAATGGTCTTAAACTGAGACAGGGCAGGTTTTGGTTAGATATCAAAAGGAAGCTTTTCACACAGAGGGTGGTGATGCACAGGTTGCCCAAGGAGGTTGTGGATGCCCCCTCCCTGGAAGCATTCAAGGCCAGGCCGGATGTGGCTCTGGGCAGCCTGGTCTGGTGGTTGACGATCCCGCACACAGCAGGGGGGTTGAAACTACATGATCATTGAGGTCCTTTTCAACGCAGGCAATTCTATGATCCTAGGACGGTATGGATATGTGCAGTTGGAAGGGTCCCCCAAGGATCAGCAAGTCCAACCCCTCACTCCGCAGAGGACCACCTAAATCAGACAGTCCTTCATCTGCAGCATCTCGGGGCCGTGCCCACTGCCCATTGGGGCCGCACAGCGCAGAGCAGAGCGGGACGGCCGCTTCCCTCGCCTGCCAGTGCTGGGCCTGACGCACCCCAGGGCACGGTTGACCCTTCTGAGTGCCAGGCGCACGGCTGCCTCAGATGCAATTTGCCGTCAAACCAGATCCCTTTTGGCCAGGCTGCGCTCCAGAACTTCACCCCTGATGTCTGCACACAGAGCCAGGGCACCGCATCCCAGGAGCAGAACCCAGCGCTCGCCCTTCTTTGTACAGATGGGAACCACCCTCATTTTGTCCAGATCTCAAGGCAAGGCCTCTTTATCCTCAAGGAGGTCAAAACTGCTCCCAGCTTAGCATCATCCACAAACTCATTGATACAGCTAACAGATCTTTATTGGAATCAACAGTAAAAACAATATAGAGAAATGGCCTGGAAATGGAGCCCCTCAGAATTCCAGCGGTGACACATAGGGCAACTGTCAGGACAAAGTCACCCAATTCTCCAGTGCAGCCATGGTATAATTCTCAAGGGACATTCTAAGGCATACATAGCCAAGGCTTTATGATGCCATGAGCCACCACCTTAACAAAAGCTCTAAATACGGGATACCTGACAACAGAACACCAGCTGTGATGCAACCAGCCAGCCAATAAAGGCAGGCAGGCAGGGGACACAACTCCAGCCAGCCAGCCAAGGCAGGAAGGCTGGGGCCACGACTCCAGCCAGCCAGCCAAGGCAGGCAGGCAGGGGCCAAGACTCCAGCCAGCCAGCCAAGGCAGGCAGGCAGGGGCCACGACTCCAGCCAGCCAGCCAAGGCAGGCAGGCAGGGGCCATGACTCCAGCCAGCCAGCCAAGGCAGGCAGGCAGGGGCCATGACTCCAGCCAGCCAGCCAAGGCAGGCAGGCAGGGGCCAAGACTCCAGCCAGCCAGCCAAGGCAGGCAGGCAGGAGCCAAGACTCCAGCCAGCCAGCCAGCCAAGGCAGGCAGGCAAGGGCCAGGACTCCAGCCAGCCAGCCAAGGCAGGCAGGCAGGGGCCACGACTCCAGCCAGCCAGCCAAGGCAGGCAGGCAGGGGACACGACTCCAGCCAGCCAGCCAAGGCAGGCAGGCAGGGGCCACGACTCCAGACAGCCAGCCAAAGCAAGCAGGCAGGGGCCACGACTCCAGACAGCCAGCCAAGGTAGGCAGGCAGGGGCCACGACTCCAGCCAGCCAGCCAAGGCAGGCAGGCAGGGGACACGACTCCAGCCAGCCAGCCAAGGCAGGCAGGCAGGGGCCATGACTCCAGCCAGCCAGCCAGCCAAGGCAGGCAGGCAGGGGCCATGACTCTAGCCAGCCAGCCAAGGCAGGCAGGCAGGGGCCACGACTCCAGCCAGCCAGCCAGGGCAGGCAGGCAGAGGACACGACTCTAGCCAGCCAGCCAAGGCAGGCAGGCAGGGGCCACGACTCCAGCCAGCCAGCCAAGGCAGGCAGGCAGAGGACACGACTCCAGCCAGCCAGCCAAGGCAGGCAGGCAGGGGCCATGACTCCAGACAGCCAGCCAAGGCAGGCAGGCAGGGGACACGACTCCAGCCAGCCAACCAGCCAAGGCAGGCAGGCAGGGGACACGACTCCAGCCAGCCAGCCAAGGTAGGCAGGCAGGGGCCACGACTCCAGCCAGCCAGCCAGCCAAGGCAGGCAGGCAGGGGACATGACTCCAGCCAGCCAGCCAAGGCAGGCAGGCAGGGGCCATGACTCCAGCCAGCCAGCCAAGGCAGGCAGGCAGGGGACACGACTCCAGCCAGCCAGCCAGCCAAGGCAGGCAGACTGAGGCCACGACTCCAGCCAGCCAGCCAAGGCAGGCAGGCAGGGGCCATGACTCCAGCCAGCCAGCCAAGGCAGGCAGGCAGGGGACACAACTCCAGCCAGCCAGCCAAGGCAGGCAGGCAGGGGCCACAACTCCAGCCAGCCAGCCAAGGCAGGCAGGCAGGGGACACGACTCCAGCCAGCCAGCCAGCCAAGGCAGGCAGGCAGGGGCCACGACTCCAGCCAGCCAGCCAAGGCAGGCAGGCAGGGGACACGACTCCAGCCAGCCAGCCAAGGCAGGCAGGCAGGGGCCATGACTCCAGCCAGCCAGCCAAGGCAGGCAGGCAGGGGACACGACTCCAGCCAGCCAGCCAGCCAAGGCAGGCAGACTGGGGCCACGACTCCAGCCAGCCAGCCAAGGCAGGCAGGCAGGGGCCAAGACTCCAGCCAGCCAGCCAAGGCAGGCAGGCAGGGGCCATGACTCCAGCCAGCCAGCCAAGGCAGGCAGGCAGGGGACACAACTCCAGCCAGCCAGCCAAGGCAGGCAGGCAGGGGACACGACTCCAGACAGCCAGCCAGCCAAGGCAGGCAGGCAGGGGCCATGACTCCAGCCAGCCAGCCAAGGCAAGGCAGGCAGGGGCCAAGACTCCAGCCAGCCAGCCAAGGCAGGCAGGCAGGGGCCACGACTCCAGACAGCCAGCCAAGGCAAGCAGGCAGGGGCCACGACTCCAGACAGCCAGCCAAGGTAGGCAGGCAGGGGCCACGACTCCAGCCAGCCAGCCAGCCAAGGCAGGAAGGCAGGGGCCATGACTCCAGCCAGCCAGCCAAGGCAGGCAGGCAGGCAGGGGCCAAGACTCCAGCCAGCCAGCCAAGGCAGGCAGGCAGGGGCCATGACTCCAGCCAGCCAGCCAAGGCAGGCAGGCAGGGGCCATGACTCCAGCCAGCCAGCCAAGGCAGGCAGGCAGGGGCCATGACTCCAGCCAGCCAGCCAAGGCAGGCAGGCAGGGGCCACGACTCCAGCCAGCCAGCCAAGGCAGGCAGGCAGGGGACACGACTCCAGCCAGCCAGCCAAGGCAGGCAGGCAGGGGCCACGACTCCAGCCAGCCAGCCAAGGCAGGCAGGCAGAGGACACGACTCCAGCCAGCCAGCCAAGGCAAGCAGGCAGGGGCCACGACTCCAGACAGCCAGCCAAGGTAGGCAGGCAGGGGCCACGACTCCAGCCAGCCAGCCAAGGCAGGCAGGCAGGGGCCATGACTCCAGCCAGCCAGCCAAGGCAGGCAGGCAGGGGCCACGACTCCAGCCAGCCAGCCAAGGCAAGCAGGCAGGGGCCATGACTCCAGACAGCCAGCCAAGGCAGGCAGGCAGGGGCCACGACTCCAGCCAGCCAGCCAAGGCAGGCAGGCAGGGGCCATGACTCCAGCCAGCCAGCCAAGGCAGGCAGGCAGGCAGGGGCCAAGACTCCAGCCAGCCAGCCAAGGCAGGCAGGCAGGGGACACGACTCCAGCCAGCCAGCCAAGGCAGGCAGGTAGGGGCCATGACTCCAGCCAGCCAGCCAAGGCAGGCAGGCAGGGGCCACGACTCCAGCCATCCAGCCAAGGCAAGCAGGCAGGGGCCACGACTCCAGACAGCCAGTCAAGGTAGGCAGGCAGGGGCCACGACTCCAGCCAGCCAGCCAAGGCAGGCAGGCAGGGGCCATGACTCCAGCCAGCCAGCCAAGGCAGGCAGGCAGGCAGGGGCCAAGACTCCAGCCAGCCAGCCAAGGCAGGCAGGCAGGGGCCATGACTCCAGCCAGCCAGCCAAGGCAGGCAGGCAGGGGCCATGACTCCAGCCAGCCAGCCAAGGCAGGCAGGCAGGGGCCACGACTCCAGCCAGCCAGCCAAGGCAGGCAGGCAGGGGCCACGACTCCAGCCAGCCAGCCAAGGCAGGCAGGCAGGGGACACGACTCCAGCCAGCCAGCCAGCCAAGGCAGGCAGGCAGGGGCCACGACTCCAGCCAGCCAGCCAAGGCAGGCAGGCAGAGGACACGACTCCAGCCAGCCAGCCAAGGCAAGCAGGCAGGGGCCACGACTCCAGACAGCCAGCCAAGGTAGGCAGGCAGGGGCCACGACTCCAGCCAGCCAGCCAAGGCAGGCAGGCAGGGGCCATGACTCCAGCCAGCCAGCCAAGGCAGGCAGGCAGGGGCCACGACTCCAGCCATCCAGCCAAGGCAAGCAGGCAGGGGCCACGACTCCAGACAGCCAGCCAAGGTAGGCAGGCAGGGGCCACGACTCCAGCCAGCCAGCCAAGGCAGGCAGGCAGGGGCCATGACTCCAGCCAGCCAGCCAAGGCAGGCAGGCAGGCAGGGGCCAAGACTCCAGCCAGCCAGCCAAGGCAGGCAGGCAGGGGCCACGACTCCAGCCAGCCAGCCAAGGCAGGCAGGTAGGGGCCATGACTCCAGCCAGCCAGCCAAGGCAGGCAGGCAGGGGCCACGACTCCAGCCATCCAGCCAAGGCAAGCAGGCAGGGGCCACGACTCCAGACAGCCAGTCAAGGTAGGCAGGCAGGGGCCACGACTCCAGCCAGCCAGCCAAGGCAGGCAGGCAGGGGCCATGACTCCAGACAGCCAGCCAAGGCAGGCAGGCAGGCAGGGGCCAAGACTCCAGCCAGCCAGCCAAGGCAGGCAGGCAGGGGCCATGACTCCAGCCAGCCAGCCAAGGCAGGCAGGCAGGGGCCACGACTCCAGCCAGCCAGCCAAGGCAGGCAGGTAGGGGCCATGACTCCAGCCAGCCAGCCAAGGCAGGCAGGCAGGGGCCATGACTCCAGCCAGCCAGCCAAGGCAGGCAGACAGGGGACACGATTCCAGCCAGCCAGCCAAGGCAGGCAGGCAGGGGACACGACTCCAGCCATCGAACAACTGTCGTCAGGAAGTGGCTGTGATGCCAGCCAGGATTCAGAATAATAAAATAAACAGAGAGAACTGTTATGAATTAAACAATCCTTGGTCATGTCCGATTTTCCAGACCATGCAGGGGCTGTTTCTCCTAACAAATTTTCAGAGACACGACTAATTGGGTGGTTTTTGTCTTTTTTTGTTTGTTTGTTTTTGTTTTGTTTTGTTTTGGTATATGTTAAGGCACTGTCTAATAACAAGTCAACTTCTTGGAGTGGGTCCAGAGGAAGGCCACTAAGATGATCAGAGGGCTGGAGCACCTCTCCTATGAAGAAAGGTTGAAGGAACTGTGCTTGTTTAGCTTGGAAAAGAGAAGGCTCCAGGGCCTTCCAGTACTTGAGGGGAGCGTATAAAGAGGAGGGGAATGGATGATGATGAGGGTCACAGTGCTAGGACAAGGGGGAATGGTCTTAAACTGAGACAGGGCAGGTTTCAGTTAGATATTAAAAGGAAGCTTTTCACACAGAGGGTGGTGATGCACAGGTTGCCCAAGGAGGTTGTGGATGCCCCCTCCCTGGAAGCATTCAAGGCCAGGCCGGATGTGGCTCTGGGCAGCCTGGTCTGGTGGTTGACGATCCCGCACACAGCAGGGGGGTTGAAACTACATGATCATTGAGGTCCTTTTCAACGCAGGCAATTCTATGATCCTAGGACGGTATGGATATGTGCAGTTGGAAGGGTCCCCCAAGGATCAGCAAGTCCAACCCCTCACTCCGCAGAGGACCACCTAAATCAGACAGTCCTTCATCTGCAGCATCTCGGGGCCGTGCCCACTGCCCATTGGGGCAGCCCATTCCATGCCCACCGCTCTCTGGTGCAGGCCCTTTCCCTGACCCCCAGCCGCCCCTGGGGCCCCCTGCCACAGCTCCATGCCGTTCCCTCGGGCCCTGTCGCTGTCACCAGGCAGCACAGCTCAGCGCTGCCCTCCGCTCCCTGTCAGGAGCTGCAGCCGCCATGAGGGCTGCCTTCAACCTGCTCTGCTCTGGGCTGAGCACAGCCACGGTGCTCAGCTGCTCCTCAAACACTGTGCCCTCAGATCCTCCTCCATCTCTGGAGCCCTCCTTTGGACACTCTCTCCTCGCATCCTATGGAGTGGCACCCCAACCTGCACCCAGCGCTGCAGGCCAAGGCAATGTAGGCAGACAGGGGCCATGGGTCCAGCCAGCCAGCCAAGGCAGGCAGACAGGGGCCACAGCTCCAGTCAACCAGGCAAGGCAGGCAGGCAGGGGCCACGACTCCAGCCAGCCAGCCAAGGCAGGCAGGCAGGGGCCATGGATCCAGCCAGCCTGCCAAGGTCATCAGGAAGGGCCCGTGACACCAGCCAGGAGGCAAAATAATAAAATAAACACATAAGAAATGAATTAAACAATCCTTGGTCATGCCTGGTTTGTCAATACGATGCTGGGGCAGATTGTCGCCGTAACAAATTTTCAGAATTTAAAAATAATAAATAAATTAAAAAAAAAACTGTCCTTGGTCATGGCTGTTTTCTCTTGACAATGCTATGCACGATTTTTTAAGTTTATATAGTGCTGAATCTGTCAGTTTTGACTTCTAGGGAAAGTAAATTTACATACAGGCAGCACTTCTACTGAGATCCTGCCAGTTATTTTACTTACATTTATACCCTATACAAGTACCTATGCTTTACTTATACACCACACTGAATCAGGAGATTTCTCAATTAACATCTAGGCTGGTAACAGCCAAGAACTTCAGAGCCACATTAACACCTCTGACTGCAGAAAGCTTACACAAAAGTCCCTAGAGATTCTTGTCAATCAATTCTTGTTAACCACCTGGTTTGCTGCATGGACCTCCTATTAAATAATTAAAAAAAAAAAAAAAAAAAAAAAAAAAAACCTGATAAACTTTAGGTCCTTGTCATTTTCTTTAAAGAGCATGGGAGAATCCCTTTGTGCATAAACGAAGAGTTTTGCCACTTGTGTAATGATAGCGAAGACTATTATTCTGGGTTCCTTAAGTGAAAAACAAAGCAGCATTCTGCAAATTTTGCAGGCCCTGTGCACAGGACAGGTTCAAGGAGCTGTAGTAGCAGCTGCAAGGGCATTTACAGAGATGACAGTCATACTTCAAATGCGTTTAAGCTGTGAGCAGTTGAGTGGCAGGTTTGATATCTCTGGGGACTGTGAAGAGAAGTATACTTTTCATAATCACTCAAAGTGCTGCCCTGATAGTGACACCAAGAAGATAAGGAAGGTGTGTGATTGATTTTAATGGGATTTACAGCTGCAAGCCACCAAATAGGTTTTTTGGATGCATATTTTTATTTGGTTTCTCCAGGGTGCTTAACAGTCAACAGAGACAGGCTCTGCCCTTGTTCTGCACAAAGACTCTGTGGAGGGACTGGGTAAACATCCCAGCAAGGCATCCAGCATAAGGGAGAGGAGAATGTAGGTACCTTGAGACAGAGGCATGGCAGCACCCAGGTCAAGCGGCACAGGCAACAGAGAGATGGTGATGTCTGATCCCTGCTGCACATCACCATGCTTTCTTAATCCGCCCTTTACCCAAGTAGAGATTCTTCCTTTCCAAATTCATTTAGACAATATCTCTTTCTTCACTAGCAACCAGCTCTAGCAAAGCTGGTAGAACGCAAAACTACATCTCCAGTGGTCTGCCAGGCCCAGCCCATCATGTTAGACAATGCTGAACATTTAACAACTGAACCGTATTCTTCTATACACAGCATGCGTAAATCTATGTTCCCAGCAGTCTTTTACCATAGAAATAATTACTTCCATTCTGAGATATACTTAGTATACATACTCATGTCTTTATGAACTATTATAAGCAACATAATAGCTTAGGAAATCGTGTATGAACACAGTGCTTTCAAGAATATTATCTGTAAATACAAAAGGACAAGCAGACCTCACAGTTACATGCATTAAGGAAAATATTTATGCAAAGAGGTATAAAAAGGCTCTTTTTCTTTTTTTCCAAAAAATGCAAGTCCCAGCATCTTAAAAGTGAATGCGAGTCACCATCTGTTGCCTGCAGTAAGGGGAAACTGTTGTCCAACTTAAACAGTTGTAAGACAAGACCTCACAGTGATGCACCAAACATAAGGTCATGAGATAATGTAATTTATAACACTACAACATGAAAGATGTGAGAATCTAAGTCACTGACAGCCTCATTTTCACACACTTTTCAAGACTGGGTGGTCTGCTTTGTTGTATCTGAACATAAATGCATTGCAACATTTATTCAGTGCTCAAAAGGCTCACTTCATAAAATCTTGCTACTTGGTCAATTTTTAAAATATACAGGTCAATTTTTTAAATATATTTTACTGTGCTTAGGTAAGAGGAGGGGCATGATAGTTTCCCAGAGCAGCCACTGAGACTCAATGATCTTTGTAATAAAGCTTAGCTGCAACAACCAATACTTGAAGGGACCATATAAACAGGAGGGGGAACAGCTGTTAATGTAAGTGGATAATGATAGGACAAGAGGGAAAGGTTTCAAACTAAGACAGGGGAGGTTTAGGTTAGATATTAGGAGGAAAATTTTCACACAGGGTGGTGAAGCACTGGAACGAGTTGCCCAAGGAGGCTGTGGATGCCCCATCCCTGGGGCCAGGCTGGATGTGGCTCTGGGCAGCCTGCTCTGGGGGTTGAAAATAGATGATCATTGTGGTCCTTTTCAACTCAGTCCATTCTATGATTTTGTGACGATGCTAAGATGACAAAGCAGCAATAGAGAAACTGTTAACACAACAGCGGTTGTTTAACACAAAAGAAATTACCTAAGTCATAAATCACACGGACAAAGTAGTAAGTGTGCCTTTCCTAATGTTCAGTGGTATTTCTGTAACATTCACCAGGCAGTTCTTGTAGCCAGACTGCAGTAAATATGACTGACTTATTGAAGAAAGTCTAAGGCCTATTTTAAAGCAGTGCAATAAAATTCAAGGCTACAGAGGAAGAGCAAAGTGAAAATAAAATGGGAGATAAAGGCCAAATGTTTCTTTGTAGGCATTATATATATTTATCTAATATATATATCTAATAACATAGTAAACAAAAGAAAAATCATTTCTCCCAGTTGAACTATTGAGAATAAGGAGCAACAGAAATAATTCATTTGTTTTATATCTATAACAACACTTGCAACTCCACATATAGTGTAGACACAGCACGCAATGGTACAGTAATATTCAAAACAGTGTTACACATTGCCCAGAAGTATACATGTAGGCATTTGTATTCAAATTAAATATGCACATAATGGTGCTTTGAGAGAGCCAGATCCTCTACTGATATACAATGGGAAAATTTCACCACCACCATGAGAACCTCACTCATTCCCAGCAGAAGAAAGTCACTCTTCTGCATTTGTGTGTGTGAACAGGAAGTTCTCGAAACAACTGGACCTTTACGCACCAAGATTTGTAAGCTCTTTCTCAACATGAGGTAGCTTTGTGAGAAGTGCAGAGAAAGTATTTGCACAGAAACCTCTGGGCACAGCAGAAGGCTCTGCCCCAGCTGCAGTCAGGGCAGGACAGCAGGAGGGAGTCCTGCTGACTGCTCTTAGCTCTTGCCAGAAAAGCGACAAAAAAGGGGCTGACTGAGGTCTCTGACTGCAGTCTGTAGGATGCTTCTAGCAAGGTCCCAGCACAACCCTGAGAACAAAAGCCCTAACAGAGAAATTCCTTAATGATGAGCAACACACCTACCTCTTTTAATATGGAATATCAACTAGTTCACTTGGCCAAATAAACTGCAAAAAATAAAGCATTCAGTTATGTCCTAACAGATGACAGAAGTTTGTTCCTCCAAGACAAAAAATGGAAGGTCAGGGGAGGACCAGTACTACTGGAGATATTTCCCTAACAAAGGTTTTGTCTCACCTGTCATTCAAGATCCCTGCAGGCCCTCACCCCATGCACACTCCTGGGAACTTCTTCCGACCAAGGCAGCTCCCGCTTGGTCTCTACCTGCTCCACAGCTGGCAGTACTTCAGCTTTTCAAGGAGCTAAAATGCCTGGTCTCACAAGTCCTTGGTCTTGTACACAGTTAACAGGGCGAAATGTAATGGCCAGGGACTTGCCAGAGGGCTGCACTAAATAATTCAGCGCAGTCTCTGCTTCTGTACCAGTGTTTTCACACGCAAGTTGATCTCTAACAGAGGTTAATGCCCCTTAGGCTGGATGCTTTTTATTTATTTTGAATAGGAGAGGAGGTAAAGGGTAGTGTTTTGTTCAGTCAGGTTTTAATAGGAGATCAAGCCTTAGACTACATGGCTTTTCAAACTCATTGCAATGCTCCTCCTTTAATTACAAACTGGAGTACATCGGCTGTCTTGGAAGTCTCTGAACTTGCAGGAAAAGGCATCCTCCTATAGCTGGTGCTACAAAATTAGTCACACCTTCTGCCTCCTCCCAAGTTCACGTGTAAGCTTCAATTCCACTAAAAAGAACAAATGTGATAGCAAGTTATGTCATTTATCTGTCTGCACATCTCTACGCTGTTCTGCACAGCTGAATGATCTCTCACATTTTCCACAGAAAAGAAGCATTTTTTTAGACATATGGGGGCAATTAATTCAATTCATGTAAAAAACCCAGGTGCTCCTCAGTTCCTTATTTTCTGCGACATTATCTCATTACAACAAAATGCTCTCCTCAGCCTCTCCATTTCTGTCAGATACTCCTGTTTGCATTAATTTCAACCCTGCTGCAAAGCGCTATCTCAAACAAAGATGTCAAAAACAAATGTACTAAAAGCCTGCATTTCAACAAGATTGAAAGAGAAGCTGAGCACAATATGCATTATGCCATGCAGCGAGGATGCAGGCATAAATGCGTAAGGCTGGCATGCAGATATCTCCTAAGACTTCCATGGTATGCTGCTGCACTATTCTATAAAGTGATGATAGGGGAAAGTATCAGTATGAGGTTACTGAGCTCATAAAAGAAGATCAAGAGGCACATAAATATACTATAAATCAAATGATGATCCACTGCAGAACTATATTCTAGTGCCAAACTGAGAAGTTCAGACCCTTTATATCATCACAAGTAAGCTGATGGTTTCCCCTATGGCTTGGCTGCTGGAACTCAAAATTCAGCCAAAAGTAAGAAAGCCCCCAAATGAATGCAAACAGTAAAAATGAACAGAATGAGACAAAAGAAAAAGCATCCACCAATTTTTCCTTCAGTGTAGCTTAGTGAGCGATAAGCTGCTTTTTTCAGTCTATTTAAAGGCAAGCCTGAAAGGACAGTAATCTCTCATTTAAATGCAGTTGGCAGCAAGACCATTTGCAAGTCACCATGCATCAAGCCACATCAATAACAGGCACAGTCACACAATCTCATTGTCGTGTAATGAGAGCACAGAATACACAGTTTACACTGGCTTTGTGCTTTCTATGCCCACTGTATGTCAGCAGCAGCAGGAACACAGACAACACCTGATGTGACTGCTGGCACAGAGCTAACCCACACATGTTTAAACAATCTGAACCAGCAGAGCAAGTTCATACCAAATCAGCACTTTGCATCATACGGCCAAGATTTTTTTTAACCTGTCACTAGCAACCTTACAGTTGTGTTTAGTGCAACATCACAACCAAACAGGTAAAGTGAAGAAAAGTCTTCAGCTTCCAATACAGCAAAGTAAACAGTATATACATCATCATCTGGAAACAGCTGGATACAAATAAAAATAGGCTGTATGCCTTTACTGGAAGGACAAAAAAAGAGAAAGAGAACCAAAAAAAAAAAAAAAAAAAGCTTTTCCAGAATTACATTCACATTACACATTAACATTCTTACTGATTTGTCTTGAAAATACCATTCAGTATTTTGCTCTCACTGACTACACACTTTATGTTGGTGTATAAAAACACATGCAGAAATTAAGAAGCCTGGGAATGAACTTTTTACATACAGAGGTCAGAAAAGTTCCACAACAAGGCACATTAAAAAAGAAATTAACTCTCATTCTGACATGCATCCATTAATTAAAAGAAAGGAGTCACCTCGTTCATTGACATTTAAAATAAATCCTAAAGAGGGGCTGCAAGTAAAAAGAGTACAGGCTTTTCAGCAGGGTCTGTCGTGACAGGACAGGGGGAAATGGTTTCAAACTGAAGGATGAAAGATTTAGACTGAATCTGAGGAAGAAGGTTTTTACAAGGGTGGTGAAGAAGTGGCACAGAGAGGTGATGGATGCCCCATCCCTGCAGTCACTCATGGTAAGGCTGGACAGGGCTCTCAACTACCTGAATTAGCTGTAAGCCTCCCTGTTCGCTGCAGGAGAGATGGACTAGATGGCCTTTAAGGGTGCCTTCCAATGCATATGATTCTATGATTTTATGACTAACATAAGTTAAAATATAAAAATACAGACACATAAAATTCAAAGTAAACAAATATTCTCATGTCTTGTTTGAACATTAGTATTCTACTCTTGCTGACACTGTATGAGCATGTATTTGTACTCTACCACAGAATGGCCTGGGTTGGAAGGGACCTCAAGGATCACGAATCTCCAGCCCCCTGCCACATGCAGGGCCACCAACCTCCCCATTTTAATGCTAGACCAGGCTGCCCAGGGCCCCATCCAATCTGGCCTTGAACACCTCTAGGGATGGGGCATCCACAATCTCACTGTTCCAGCACCTCACCACCCTCATAGTAAATAACTTCACCCCTGATGTCCAACCTAAATCTTCCCTCCCTCAACTTAAAACCATTTCCCTTTGTCCTGCTGTTATCTATCCGTTCAAAGAGTTGACTCACCTCCTTTATGGCTTTTTATGGCTTTTTATGGCTGTCAGGTTTATGGCTCCCTTTAGGTACTGAAAGACTGTAATGAGGTCACCCCACAGCTTTCTCTTCTCCAGGCTGAACAAGCCAAGCTCCCTCAGCATGTCTTCGTAGGAGAGGTGCTTCAGCCCCCTGATCATCTTTGTGGCTCTCCTCTGGACCCTTTCCAACAGCTCTCCGTTTTTCTTGTATTGCAGGCTCCAGACCTGGACACATTACTCCAGATGGGGCCTCACAAGAGCAGAGTAGAGAGGGAAAATCATGTCCCTGTCCCTGCTGGCCACCCCTCTTATGATGGAACCCAGGATACCATTTGCTTTCCATGCTGCAAGAGCACACTGCTGGCTCATGTTAAGCTTTTCATCCATCAGGACTACCAGGTCCTTCTCTGCAGGGCTGCTCTCAAGGACTGCTCCTTCCAGTCTATGTAAAGGCCTGGGATTCCTCTGGTGCAAATGCAAAACCTTGTACTTTGCTCTGTTGAACTTCATTAGGTTCACCCAGGCCCACCTTTCACGTCCATTAAGGCCCCTCTGAACGGCATCCCTTCCTTCCATTGTGTCAACTGCACCACTCAGCTTGGTGTCATCAGCAGACTTGCTGAGGGTGCATTCAATTCTGTCATCAATGTCATTGATAAAGATGTTAAAGAGCACCGGTCCCAAGATCCCTGGGGGACGCCACTCGTTACCAGCCTCCACCTGGACATAGAATCATTAATCACTATCCTCTCTTTGTGGCCTTTCAACCAATTTCTCATCCATCAAGTAGTCCTCCCATCAAATCCACGTCCCTCCAACTTGGAGATAAGAATGTGGTTGGGAACCACGTCACAAGCCTTGCTCAAATACAGGTAAATTACATCGGTCACCTTCCCCTTGTCCACCGATGCCACCACTCCATCATAGAAGGCCACCAGACTGGTTAAGCATGACCTTCCCCTGGGGAAGCCGTGCTGGCTGTGTTGGATCACACGCTCATTCCTCATGTGATCAAGCATGTTGTCCAGGAGGATCCGCTCCATGATCTTACCAGGCACAGAGGTGAGACTCACCAGCCTGTAGTTCCTTAGGTCCTCCTTGCTCCCTTTCTTGTAAATGGGAGTGATGTGACCCTTCCTCCAGTCATCCAGGACCTCACCTGACAGCCACGAATTTCCAAATATGATGGAGAGCAGCTCGGCAACCACCTCAGCCAGCTCCTTCAGAACCCTGGGATGCATGCCATCCAGCCCCATAGATCTGTACACATTCCGTCTCATGAGGCAATCTCAGACTTGCTCTTCCCTTACAGTGAGGGGGGGATTTACCACCCCAGGCCCCACCAAGAGCTTTAGGGATGCAGGACTCAGGGATGTGAGAAATGCTAGAATCCTGGCTGCCACTGAAGACCGAGGCAAAGAACTCATTCAGTACCTCAGCCTTCTCTTCATCTGCTGAAGCCAGTTCTCCTTTCACATTAACCAGAGGAGGTACATCATTCTGGCCTGTCTCTTCTGGCCAATGTACCTGTAGAATATCTTCATATTATTTTTCACATCCCTCACCAAGTTCAGTCCACTTGCGCCTTGGTTTTCCCAACCCCACATCTGCGAATCCAGACAGCATCCCTGTATTCTTCCCAGGTGACACACCCTTATTTCCAGAGCTTGCATGCACCTTTCTTTGCCCTCAGTATGCCCAGCAGGTCCTTGCCGAGCCTTGCTGGTCTCCTACCTCCTCTGCCTGCTTTCTTATTCAGAGGGACAGAGAGCTCTTGCACTCTCAGAAAGGCATCCGAAAAGAGTAGCCAACTCTCCTCAGCATCTTTGTCATCATCTAAGGCTTTCACATAGAGGAAAAAATAGAGGGAAAAAAATACACTCTGGGTGCAAAAAAAGACTCCTGAGTGCTGATGAACATGCTTTAAAATGCCCACTATATTCTTCTACATATTTTAAAATAGACCCCATTGTTTCACGTGCATTTCATGAGTCCTTCTGTGGCAGCAGCTACACTTTGAAGCAGAGACCAACCTCTGTGCACGTCGTTTTGTGTGCACTCCAACCAAGTTGCCCACAGAAGACCTGACAGTCCTACACGGGTCAAACCACAAAGCACTCAGTGACTCAAGTCAGTGCTGGACCAGGCCAGCAAACACAGCCCTGTGCACAAGCAAACACATGCTGGTAGCCCAACATTTAAATTTTAAACTACACTTCTCCATTGTATTACAAAGTCACTATCTAGTAGGACAGTGATTTCAGGCTGGCTGAATGCAGAGCGTGTCCCAGATACAGCCAACAATGCTGCAGCAGAAAAC